ACCAAAGAAGATGGCACTGGTTTGAATGCAAAGGAAAGGTAGAAAGGAACCAAGTAAAGCCTTGTCAATTGAACAAGGAACTTTAAAGTAGAAACAGAGTGACCCTTCACTGAGATTTGATTATCTTTAAAGTTGTTAATGTTAAAAGGGCTGAATGTTTATTTCTGATGTTTGCATATATTTGTACAGTATAAAAAAGTCTATTTTGTCTTTTTGCATGAAATAAATTTTGATGTTCTTTGTTAAAAGTACATTAGCAGCCTCTTGTGAATACATTCAGTGACTGATCTTCACAATAAACAAATGTAATAAAAACTTATGATCTTTCAAGCCAGGTTTTAGTCTGGGATCTGACTTATCCAACATCAGCAACAATTACAATCATACCAGCTACAACTTTTTTTTGTCTTTTTACACTTCTTTGAAGGGCCTTGAGGCATTTTCTTCATTAAAAGGGCTTTAAAAAATGAAAGCTGGTGCTATTGTTAAATTGTAGAAATGTGTATACTGCGTCCAGATTAAGGCCAATATTCTGAGAGAAATCATATAAACAAGAAAAGGAAAGAAACAAGGGCAGATTAAGGATAAAATACTGCAAGAAGGATTTTGGAAGTAGCTGGAAAATTGCAATCACATGAAATTGAGGCACCCACTCAACAGAACAACTACACCTCCAATGAGGATAAAGATTAATTAAAATAATCAATCAATATTGCATTATTTTTCTGTGTTGTTACGAAAACCTTTTATCATTTGTTAATCTGTAAATTTCTGCCAAAACACTGGTAAAGAGTTCTTATATCTATCCTCAACCCCATGTGGGGGGACTGATAAATTTTAACAGAAATGAATTTCTCTACTGATTAGCAGAAAGAAACCAATTGAGGGATGGCACTTTTGTGAGATTTTAAGTGTAACAAAGTTTCAAATTGTAACAAAGATAGACCTTAGGTTTAGGGTAAAAGTTCGGCATAATAGGGCCTGTACTGTGCTGTACTGTTCTATCTTCTATGTTCTAAAGTAATTTCAACAGAAATAAAACTTCATTAGCAGTCAACTGATATATGAAGTTAAAGAAAAGGGTGTGTTTCACATTAACTATCTAACACAACTAAAACATGTCTTTTTAGACTCATAGAGTCAGAAAGTCATACAGCATATAAATAGGCCTTTGGCCCATCAGTCTATGCTGACCAGCAAACACTAATCATATTTACCTGCACTTGGTCCATAACTATGTTGGCATTTTAAGTGTTTATCCAAATGTTTCTTAAATGTTGTGAGAATGCCTGCCCCCACCACCCTCTCAGATTGCACGTTCCAATTTTCTACCACCCTCTGGGTGATTAAAAAAAATTCCTCTATCTCCTCTTAACCACTAACTCCTCATCTTAAACTTAAGTTGTCTGGTTTTAGACATGTCTGCCATGGGTAAAAGATTCTCACAATCTACTCAGTCAATGCCTCTCATAATTATGTATACCTCAAACAGATCCCCCTCAGCCTCTTCTGCCCCACAGCAAACAAACTCGGTCTATCGTGTCTCTCCTCATAACTAAGACTTTTCATCAAAGTAAACATCCTGGTGAAACTCCTTTACACCCACTCCAATGCAATCACATCCTTCGATAGTGTGGCAAGCAGAACTGCAACACATTACTCCATCAATGGCTTAAGCAATGTTTTATAAAGTTGTAACAAGGCTTTCTTGTCCATATATTCTATGCCCCAACTAATGAAAGCAAGCATCCTGTATAGCTTATCCGCCCTTCGGACGGTCAGTGTGGATTTATCGAGCCAAATGGCCTGTTTCCACACTGAAGGGTCTCTGTGATTTCACCCTGTGTGTCTGTGTTGCACATTCAGGAATCTACAGACTTGTACACCAAGTTTTGTCCCTTTGTTCCTCGGTATATTCCAGAGAACTACCATTCACCATGTGTATCCTTCCCAGATTTGACCTCACCTTGCACTTATCGGGATTAAATTCCATCTGCCATTGTTCTGACCAATTTACCAGCTGATCAATATTAGACTGTACCCTGAGACAATCATTCTCACTATCAGCAACACCATCAATTTTCATGTCATCTGCAAACCTAATCATTTATAACTTCTACATTCACATCCAAGACATTAATGTACATAGAACATATAACAGTATGGCACAGTACAGGCCCTTCGGCCCACGATGTTGTGCCAACCTATTCTAACCTATCCTACTCTAAGATCAAATTACCCTGCATACCCTACATTTTACTATCATCCATGTGCCTATCCAAGAGTCATTTAAAAGTCTCTAAAGTATCTGAATCCACTACCACTGCTGGCAATGCATTCCACACACCCACCACATTCTGTGTAAAGAACCTACCTCTGTCATCTCCCCTATACCTTCCTCCAATCACCTTAAAATTATGCACCCTTGTAATAGTCATTTCCGGCCTGGAAAAAGTCTCTGGCTATCCACTCTATCTATGCCTCTCATCATCTTGTGCAACTCTATCAAGTCATCTCTCATCCTTCTTTGCTCCAATGAAAAAAGCCCTAGCTCCCTCAACCTTTCCTCATAAGACCTGCTCTCCAGTCCAGGCAGCATCCTGGTAAATCTCCTCTGCACCCTCTCTAAAGCTTCGATATTCTTTCTATAATGAGGTGACCAGAACTGAACACAATATTCCAAGTGTGGTCTAACCAGAGTTTTATAGAGCTGCAGCATAACCTCGCGGCTCTTAAACTCAATTCCCCTGCCAATGAAAGCCAACACACCATACGCCTTTTTAACAACCCTATCAACTTGGGTAGCAAGTTTGAGGGATCTATGGACGTGGACCCCAAGATCCCTCTGTTCCTCCACACTGCCAAGAATCCTACCATTAACCCTGTATTCTGCATTCAAATTCGACCTTCCAAAATGAATCACTTCACATTTTTCCGGGTTGACTTCCATCTGCCGCTTCTTTGCCCATCTCTGCATCCTGTCAATATCCCGTTGCAAACTAAAACAATCCTCCACACTATCTACAACTCCACCAACGTTCGTGTCATCAGCAAAGTTACTAACCATTCTTCCACTTCCCCATCCAAGTCATTTATAAAGATCACTAAGAGCAGAGGTACCAGAACAGATCCCTGCAGAACACCACTGGTCACCGAGCTCCAGGATAAATACTTTCCACCTACTACCACCCTCTGTCTTCTATTGGACAGCCAATTCTGTATCCAGACAGCCAAATTTCCCTGAATCCCATGCCTCCTTACTTTCTGAATGACCCTACTCTGTGGAACTTTATTAAATGCCTTGCTAAAATCCATATACAGCACATCCACTGCTCTGCCTTCATCAATATGTTTTGTCACATCCTCAAAGAATTCAATAAGGTTTGTGAGGCATGGCCTGCTCCTCACAAAGCCATGCTGACTATTTCTGATCAAACCATGCTTTTCCAAGCAATCATAAATACTATTTCTCAGAATCCTCTCCAATAATTTGCCCACCACAGAAGTAAGACTGACTGGTCTGTAATTCCCAGGATTATCCTTATTCCCTTTCTTGAACAAGGGAACGACATTTGCCACCCTCCAATCATCTGGTACTACGCCAGTGGACAGTGAGGACGCAAAGATCATTGCCAAAGGGGGAGCAATCTCTTCCCTTGCTTCCCGTAGCAAGGGTCCCAGGATTGATCTCTGTGGTACACTGTTGGTCACAGGCTTCCATTAATAACAACAACCCTCCACCATCACCCTTTGCCTCTTATTTGCAGACAAATTTTGGGTTCAGTTTGCCAACTTGCCTTGGATCCCATGGGCTCTTATCTTTTGGACCAGCCTTTCATGTGGGACCTTGTAAAAATCTGTACTGAAGTCCATGTAAACCATATCAACTGCACTGTCCTTATCAATACATTTAGTCATCTTTTCAAAAAAATTCAGTTAAATTAGTCACACAGGATCTCCCACCAACAAATCTATGCTGACTGTCTCTGATCAATCTCTGCCTTTCTAAGTGCTGCTAATCCTGTCCCTTGAAATCTTTTCCAATAAATTCCTTACCACTGATGTCAGACTAATTGACTTGTAAGAACCTGGCCTATCACTGCTGCCCTTCTTGAACAAGGAACTACATTAACTATTCTCCAGTCATCTGGCACTTCATCTGTGGCCAGCAAGGTATTAAGTATCTCCAGGGCTTCAGCAATCTCTTCCATTACATCCCATAGCAGTCTGGGATATATCTCATCAGGTTCTGGGGATTTATGCAACTTTATACCTGTTCAAATAAACAGACTCTAATTGGTCAAGGTATTGCCACGGAGAATGCACCAGAGTATAACTAGCTCAAAGCTTTTGGAAACCAAAAATAATGGCAAGTCAGCTCTGATTGTTCAAGTAAAATAAAACTGCAAATGTTGGAGATCAGACACAAAAACAGAAATTGCTGGAGTTCTCAGCAGGTCTGGTAGCATCTATGGGGAGAAAATAGAGTTAACTTTTAGAGTCCAGTGACTTTTAACCAGAAATCAGTTCTGACTGGAAACATTAACATGGCTTTTTCTCCACAGATGCTGCCAGACCTGCTGAGTTTCTCCAGCAATTTCTGTTTCTGTTTCTGAATCAGCAAGGTCTGGTATGGGCAGTGCACCATGGAACATTGTTTCCCAAACTTTGGTTTCATTGAACAGTCTCAATGCCTGAGTAAATTCTTTCTGCCTGCAGTAGACAGAGCCCTGCATACAAATATAAATTAAATACAATGTTCTCATTTTGCCATCATTTTTTAAAATCAACTTGCAGATGAACCAGATGTTCATCACATGAACAGAGGCCAGAGTCACACTGCAATGAAGCATGCTTGGCAGAGGATATGCCTTAAGATTACTCTGTATTAGTCTAGCTGTAAGAAAATCCACCAGAGATCATAGAATAAACAGTATGGGAGAGGTTATTTCAGCCATCGGTCTACACCAATAAAAACTACTCTCAATCAGCACTAATACCATTTTCCAGCACTTGGCCCATAGCCTTGAAGTCAATATTCAAGTAAATGGAGTACATAACCTTACAAGCTTGAACACCCTGGAAACAAACAGCAGATAATGTTCAAAAGAATTCCATAACAGTAAGCTCCTATAGTAATGAAAACAGAAAAAAATCAGGTTTCTCACAAGCTATGTGGATCTCCACATGGCTAAGTGCATACCAACAGCCAGATGATTCCAAACCACACTATCTAAATGCATCTTAACATTTGAAGTCAGTTGGGATTCAGTCTCATGCTGAACTAAGAAGAAAAATATGCCTAAATTTAAAGAAAGGATGCAGACTGCATTTAGGAACAGTGCAGAGTCAACAGGACAATTCCCAAAGCAGGTTTTAAGCCAAAAATAGAAGCAGAACATTAAATGCAGTGCTGAACACAGACAAGGAGTTCAACAGGAAAATATAGAGAAGAAAAAAAAGCAAAATGCAGACAGCATAGCTAAAGTTCTGCTCAAAGCGCACACAGAGTGCTCTCATAATGACTGAGACATTCCCGCATAACAATAGGAAAAGACAGAAAACAGACACAACAGTAAACACACAAATTCCATCAATATCATTTCAAAGTTCAAACTTTTAAACAAAAAATGCAGCTATGCTTCTTAGATCGAGCAATTGTAGAGACAGTGAAGCAAGATGTGAAAATGCTGACAGCAATTGGTATTAAGAGGTCGTATGGAGTCAGTACCTTGGGATTACTTTCAAAGGACCAAAAGATCTTGTGAAGGTATGGAAAGTGCAAAAAGATTCGTATGTATATGTAAATTTTAGAATTTATCACTTAGAATTGATGGTCTACAATAATCAGACACAATAAATGATCAACCTTGATGCTGCTTGGCCTGCTGTGTTCATCCAGTTCTACACCTTGTTATCTCAAATGATCAACCAATTCAGATTCCCTGCCAGCGATGCTTATTGAGATTTTTCCGAACTGTCAGAATGGAAAATGAAGTTGGCGATTGGCCCAACACGATCAAACCTCTTTAAAGATGAAACGTCAGAGCCAACAGATGTCAGAAAATATAAAGCTACTGAAACCTGAAAACAGTAACTGTAAACGCTAAGTGCAGCTAATGGTAATGGCACCGTAGCAGAACACAAAAAGCAAGCATGTTGTGTGACAAGTGCAGTCTATCGCACCCACACTGAAGCTGTCCTGCATTCAGGATCTGTACAAGGCATGTGGAACTAAAGAACATGGGGTCCCCCAAAGCAGGAAATCTGGGTCCAAAGACACAGCCAGCCGTTGCAATAAGGAACAACTAAACAGAGACTGGCACAGCAGAATTGTAACTGATGTATGGAATTCACACAGACCTGCATAATTGTAAGCCAATACACAATGTTCACAGGAAGACAGGCCTGAGTCAAGACCCAGACAGATACAGCTGACCAGAGAATGAACAGGCTTTTCACGTTATATTTCTGACAAAGTATGGGATAAGGTCAAGAAATGATTGGCTTTTGTCACAATCACGTCATTTTCCCAAAGAAAGCTGGCAAAGCACACACTCAAAACCAAGACTGATCCAAGAGTTAGTGCAAATACCTGACCAGTCTGAATTACAAGGAAAATGGATCTGGATCAATGGAATTCAGACAAATTACTGACAAATGTTGAATTATCTACATACAATATCACTAATCTCTTGCATTTGTAACAATAAAAATAATTCATTAAGTTTTGGCAATTCAGAATGGAAACCACAAATATTCGAAAGGATGAGCTGTGGCAGGATTGGGTGCAGATCTCAACATTGAGATTATCTATGAGATCACCATGGTAGCCAAACACGGAAGACGAGACCAAGAAAACTCGCATTCAGTCAGTCCAGAATTGTCAACAATTATACCCTGTCAGGTCCGATACAATAGAAAGTCCCACCACTTCCAACTGCTTGCAGAAGATGTAGTGTTCAGGGTCATAGAAAGCTTAAGTAGCTTCTGGATGAAATGGACCACAATGACACTACCCATTGTGTGTATCACCACACGGCCACCTTGGAAATGCTGTGCATATTTCCAAACAAAGATCTCTTATGTTCCATTGGATCTACAACTTGACAGCATTGACACTAAGAAGGAACATGTGGTCAGAGTCTATTTATTCCTTTTTTCTCAACAGTAATGCAACCAGCTTCAATTGCAAACAGATAGTGAACCATGACCAAAGGTGCTGTGGGATGATATGATTGGATGGTAGCTACATATAATAAAAGAGGGCTACATTCACTCAGGCACTTCTGGGCTTTTGGAGATGGGCCCAATATCTCAAAAGGTGTATTTTTTTTTCATTCATTACACTGGCTGGGCTAGCATACACTCCTCATCCCTAGTTGCCCTTTGGGAAGGTGGTGGTGAACTGCCTCTTAAACTGCTGCAGTCCATTTGCTGTGGGTAGACCCACAATGCTGCAAGTCCATGTCACAAGATACATGTCACACTTTTCAATAAACATGGAAGAATGAAGTTGGTGCTTGATCAATGCCACTGGAATGGAACTATTTTAACCACAAATAGGACAGTGTTCATATGGCTCCCCAATGGGAGCATGCTTATCCAGAGAGGTTTCCTATGAGTACTTAGGTCCTACAAAGTCATGATAGCTAATAGAATGATGCACTATGAGGAGGAACATAAGCCAGTGAACAGAAGTAGAAATATGCGAATTGTACACAACAGACCCAAAAAAAAACACATTTGCAGGACAGACTCAGCAGAGATGGTGGCACAGTGGGATACAGTCAGGAGGGTGTTGCTCTAGGAGTCCTCAACATTGACTCCTGACCCCATGAAGTCTCATGGCTTCAGGTTAACATGGGCAAGGAAACCTCCTGCTGATTACCACATACCGTCCTCCCTCAGCTTATGAATCAGTACTCCTCCATGTTGAACGACACTTGGAGGAAATGCTGAGGATGGCATGGGCATAAAATGTTCTCTGGGTGGGGACTTTCAATGTCCACCACCAAAAGTGGCTCAGCAGCAGTAGTAATGATCGAGCTGGTTGGGTCCTAAAGGACATAGCTGCTAGACTGGGTCTGCAGCAGGTGGTGAGGGAACTAACAAGAGGGAAAAACATACTTGACCTCATCTTTACCAATCTGTCTGCTGCAGTTGCATTTGTCCATGACATTATCAGTAAGAGTGACCATCGCACAGTCCTTGTGGAGATGCAGTTCTGCTTTCACATTGAGAACAACCTCCATCGTGTTGAGTGGCACTATTACCGCGCTAAGTGGGACAGACTTTGCACAGATCTAGCAACTCAAGATTGGGCATCCATGAGGCGCTGTAGGCTATCAACAGCAGCAGAATTGTACTCCAGCACAATCTGTAACCTCATGGCCCGGCATATCCCACACTCAACCATTGCAATCAAGCCAGGGGATCAGCCCTGGTTCAATGGAGAGTGCAGGAGGGCATAACAGGAGCAGCACCAGGCATACCTGAAGATGAGGGGACAACCTGGTGGAGCTACCAAACAGGATACTTGCACACCAAATAGTGAAAGCAGCAAGTGATAGACAGAGCTAAGCGATTCCACAACCAACTGATCAGATCTAAGCTCTGCAGACCTGCCACATTCAATTGTGAATGGTGAAGAACAATTAAACAACTCACTGGAGGAGGAGGCTCCACAAATATCCCCATCCTCAAGGATGGAAGATCCCAGCACATCAGTGCAAAAGATGAGGCTGAAGCATTCGCAGCAATCTTCAGCCAGAAGTGTCGAGTGGATGATCCATCTCGGCCTTCTCCAGTGGTCCCCAGCATTACAGATACTAGTCTTCAGCCAATTTGATTCACCCCACGTGATATCAATAAATGGTTGGAGACACTGGATACTGCAAAGTCTATGGACCCTGACAACATTCCAGCAATAACACTGAAGACGTATGTTCCAGAACTTGCCGTTCCCCTAGCCAAGCTGTTCCAGTACAATTACAACACTGGTATCTACCTGGCAATGTGGAATATTGCTCAAGTATGTCCTGTACACAAAAAGCAGGACAAATCCAACCCGGCCAATTACCGCCCCATCAGTCTCCTCTCAATCATCAGTGAAGTGATGGAAGGTGTCATCAACAGTGCTATCAAGCAGCATCTGCTCAGAAATAACCTGCTCAGTGACACCCAGTTTGGTTTCCACCAGGGCTACTCAACTCCTGACCTCATTACAGCCTTGGTTCAAACATGGACAAAAGAGCTGAATTCCAGAGGTGAGGTGACAGTGACAGCCCTTGACATCAAGGCTGCATTCGACTGAGTGTGGCATCAAGGAGCCCTATAAAAACTGGAATTAATGGGCATCAGGGGCAAATTCTCCGGTGGTTGGGGTCATACCTGGCACATAGGAAGATGGTCGTGGTTGTTGGAGGTCAATCATCTCAGCTCCAGGTCTTCTCTGCAGGAGTTCCTCAGGGTAGCGTCCTCGGCCCAACCATCTTCAGCTGCTTCATCAATGACCTTCCCTCCATCATACGGTCAAAAGTGGGGATGTTTGCTGATGATTGCAAAATGTTCAGCACCATTTGTGACTCCTCAGATACTGAAGCAGTTCGTGTTCAAATGCAACAAGATCTGGACAATATCCAGGCTTGGGCTGACAAGTGTCAAGTGATATTTGCACCACACAAATGCCAGGCTATGACCATTACAAATAAGAGACAACCTAACCACCACCCTTTACTGAATCTCCCACTATCAACATCCTGGGGGTTATCATAGACCAGAAACTCAACTGGACTCAACACATAAATACAGTGATTACAAGAGCAGGCCAGAAGCTAGAAATACTGCGGCCAGTAACTCACCTCCTGACTCCCCAAAGCCTGTCCACCATCTACAAGGCACAAGTCAGGAGTGTGATGGAATACTCCCCACTTGCCTGGATGGGTGCAGCCCCAACAACACTCAAGAAGCTTGACACCATCCAGGACAAAGCAGCCCGCTTGATTGGCACTACATCTACAAGCATCCACTCCCACTACCACCGACGTTCAGTGCCAGCAGTAGGTACTATCTACAAGATGCACTGCAGTAATTCACCAAAGATCCTCCAACAGCACCTTCCAAGCCCATGACCACTCCCATCTAGAAGGACAAGGGCAGCAGATATTTGGGAACACCACCACTCCAAGTTTCCCTCCAAGCCACTCACCATCCTGACTTGGAAATATACCGCCGTTCCTTCACTGTCGCTAGGTCAAAATCCTGCAACTCCCTCCCTAATGTCATTGTGGCTCAACCTACAGCTGGTGGACTGTGGCAGTTCAAAAAGGCAGCTCACCATCACCTTCTCGAGGGCAACTAGGGATGGGCAAGAAATGGTGGCCAGCCAGTGACACCCATTTCCCACAAATGAATTGAAAAAAAAATTTGAACAATGATGGTGTGACAGAACTCTAGGCCAACAATCAACAAACTTTTGAGAAGCAGCCATAGGTGAAATCACATCTCCAGAGTGTGAGACCATAACAAAATCTGGAAGACTTGTCCAACCACCAAAATAATATATGGATCCTTAGACTTCTGCACTCATAGATTTAATAGTCATTTGTACCTGTAAATTTTGCAATTCCTGCCTCCATACAACTATTATGACTATTACCCAATCTTTATGTGTCTATAGTTGAAAGAAATAAGAGGTATCTTTGGAAAAAATTGGAATGTTGTCCCAAGAGTAGTGCTGCTTTAAAAATCTCAACAGATCGATGAGTCATACACTTGGATGTCATGCGATGCAGCAGCCTAGATGAAGGATGTATCTAGAGATTAATTTGTTCTGTCATACTGGCTTGAATGTAAATAAACCCATGAGGAGACATTCAAGTAAACAGAATCTTTTTTTGTGTCACTTACAGATAGCACAAGAGCATTATCATATACATTCTACAACACACGCTGGGGTAGTGCACCTAAATTGAACCTCTCTCTTCCTACCTAAAGTTAATTTAGAAACTTGTACATGGCTAAAACATGGGGAGCGTGGGAAATGATGCATGCCTCTGATTGGATAGACTCAAGCAACACAGCACATTGAGACTTGAACCTCATTATCACAATGTAACATCACAGAGGGGGCTCTGACAAGCTTTTAGTTCTTAATTAGTAAATAGAGAAAGGTTTTACTACCTTTTCCACTTGGGAACCCCGCAGCCCTCCGCACTCAATATTGAGTTCAATAATTTTAGGGCCTAAACTCTCCCATGCCCCAGCCCCCGACCCCACACACCAGGCCTTGTTACCACATAGCCTGCCATTACACACCCACTGTTGTTAGTCACTAACAGTCCCCATTAACAACTATTCACCCTCCAGCCTGATCGTTAGCAACTCTTTGTCTGTCCAGCTGTTCTTCTCTCTCTTTAGGCTTTATCTTATCATTTACTTTCTGTCCCATCCCCCTCCTCTCCTTTTTTCTGCATCTAAACTGATGTTTTCCCAGCCACTATCAGTTCTGAGGAAGGGTCACCAGACCCGAAATGTTAACTCTGCTTTTTCCTTCACAGATGCTGCCAGACCTGCTGAGCTTTTCCAGTAACTTTGTTTTTGTTCCTGATTTACAGCATCCGCAGTTCTTTCGGTTTTTATTTACTATTCTTATACTTCAAGCTCCTTGCAACATGCCATTTGCCTTCTTAATTACTTGTAATTAAAGAGAGATGACTGGTGGTGAGCTTAACCTGACAGTCACCATGGTAACTTGAGCCATTGCAAGAACTGAGCATGCGCTTTTGGCATCATTCTACATCATAAACCAGCTGTCTAGCCAACTGAGCTAACTGACAGGTCAACCTCACCCCTGGCCTGAATCCTCCATCCATTTTCATATACAACCCTTAAATCCATGAGCAATATTAATTATCGGTATGGTACCTTGTCGAATGTTGTTTGGAAATCCAGACATGCTGCATCTACTGGTTCCCGTCAATCATAATTTTTCTATCCTAAAACCATTTTCACTTGGTCAAATCATTTGGGGCGACACGGTGGCACAGTGGTTAGCACTGCTGCCTCACAGCGCTAGGGACCTGGGTTCGATTCCAGCCTCAGGTGACTGTCTGTGTGGAGTTTGCACATTCTCCCCGTGTCTGCGTGGGTTTTCTCCGGGTGTTCCGGTTTCCTCCCACCGTCCAAAGATATGCAGGTGAGGCGGATTGGCCATGCTAAATTGCCCGTAGTGTTCAGGGAGGCAGAGGGTGTATATTAGGTGGGTCATAGGGGGATGGATCTGGGTGGGATGCTTTGAGGTTCGGTGTGGACTTGTTGGGCCAAAGGGCCTGTTTCCACACTGTATGGATTCTAATTCTAATTCATTTTCTAAGTGCATTGTTAAATTTCCTGATTGATAGATATTAATGCCAACTGACCTTTGGGTTCTTTTATTTCTAGAACATAGAACATAGAACATTACAGCGCAGTACAGGCCCTTCGGCCCTTGATGTTGCGCCGACCTGTGAAACCAATCTGAAGCCCATCTAACCTAA